AAATCGAAATATATTTTCATGTACAAATTTTTGGAGCCGTTGTCGGGGGATTGAGTTTTAGTTTAAGTTTATTTACCGAGGCATTAATTCGGATTTCTACCTGTATTCTTGTATTGTTATTTTCGTCCCATTTTAGGTTTTTCTCTATCTTTTTCAGGTTAAAAAAAAAGAACAAAAATAATAGAGTAAAAGATGGCTATGGTTGATTTCAACAAGATGCTCGTATGTGACTTTATCATAATACAAAAATTGGTAGCTCAAGAAATTGATGAGGGGGATATGCTTGTGGGAGATTTCATTATAGGACAGCGACTACAAGATTTAAAAGCAAAATGTGAACTTGATGAAGCTGTTCTGGGTGATTTACGTGTTGCATTATTTCTCTCACCACAATTTGATGTGGGTGATTTACCTACGGGATTATTTCTTCCACCAGTTACCAATGGACATCAATTAAGGGAATCACGTCAACCAGACTTCTTACAAATACAACAAGAGGAGAAGATTCTTCATGAAGATATCATTGTTCCTTTGCCAGAAGTTTTGAATACAGACATTGAACTCGAGAAACTTCAATAAAAAAAGGGGAGCATGAAAAGATCGAGAAATTATTCACAACGGGCGAAAATGAACTTGAAGCATTCAAAGAAGAGAAAATTAGCATACAATTCCTCGACACTATCATTTGCTCAAAAATTGATTTTGTGATTAAACCTTACAAGGATATTGAAGTTTACATTGTTGAGTTCGAAACGGGTGATGAGGAAAATTCGTACTACTTTGAGAAGGATAAGGTTAAAATTTGAAGGAAAGTTGCAATATGAAACAAAGTCATATTAAGCAAGCTAAGCAGGACCTCCAAAGCCATATTCAAAGTGCCATAACACACTTGTGCCAAAAGTCAAGCTCTAGACTACAAATCGAGCGCTTAATGGGAGACATCCCATTCCTCTATCCCTTTTCACTTATTTTGATTACATATTGCATTACATGTATAATTTTAGGGATTGCATTAATATTTAGGGTCATATTTAGGAACTCATATATATAGATGGTTTTTAACACATTTTATGTAATATTTTAAGACTTGCATTAGTAACCTAGGCATTTTTATCTATTGAGTTCCATTTACTTAGACTCATCGTTAACAGACTCATCGTTAACATCCTAGTATCATGTTGAGCTTACATTGATGTGATATGAATTCATAAGATTGCACTTAGATTTCAATCTCCAAATGAATTAGAAGAATTTATCTCCTTCTAGTTATAGGATTTTTGCAGGGACGTATGCACTGTTAGATAGTTTTTCTAAAAGTTAGGGATTAGATTTTTGTGTGTGTGAATTCATTCCAAATACTAAAATGATATATAATATCGCTAATATTTATTTTATACTCTGAGAAAAGAAAATTAAAGCCTAGCAATGAAGAAAAGTGACGGTTGACGTCCTCCAGCTGGGCGACCTTGATCCTTCTACCTATCCACACCTATCCCAGGGAGTTTCTAATCCTTACTACTTTATTTTGATTATTTTTACTCTTATATTAAGGACAACATCTTGTATAAGTTTGGAAGGTGGCATAAGTTTGGCACATTTTGGCATAATTCTGTGTTGCACCGTTATTATTCATCAATAGTTGGGTTTGACTTACTGCTTTACATGTGATTGAGTGTAAAAAAAGCAAAAAAAAAGGGATATAAAATATTTTGTATGCCTTGTTTATTTTGTTTATGATTTTATGTGCTTGTATGAGTTTGATAGCCTTGCCGGCTATGATTTGAACATTGAAATAGGTATGCGTTAGGAACTGAGGATGTGATGCAGAATTTGATATGTGATATTTAATATTCTTTGCGCACGCACTCATGTTTTACATGTTAGGTTAGTGATTAGGATTATGAACAAGGTAGGAGAAAACCAAAACCCTCTAGAGTAGTAACACGTAACCCATTTTTAGAATAGTTTGGAGACGATTGAACAATTACAAAGGAACGTTGAGATAGTTAGGGGTTCCGTGCATGAAATTCTACTATGTGGATTGCCTAGACCAATAAGATGAAGATTAAGTGAAAATCTTAAGTTGGGGGATGGTTTTGAAAATCGAATATCTAGAAAACAAAGAAGGGCATAAAACTAATGTGTGTAAAAATAACACTTTTCTCAAAGCCTTTATAACTCGAGCTAGTAAGCATGTAAGGTTATTTTGAAACCTATTGCTCTAAAACCAACTAGTTTGGGAGTCATCGGCCCCAAGCTTACGACAAGGGTCATATAAAAAGCAAGAAGGGGAGAAGTTAATAAAAAGTCATCTTATCGAGCTTTTATAGCTTGAATGAAAAGCCTGCAAAGGTTTAATACTTGGTACCCCAAAGCCAACTAGTTTGGGAGTCATCGGCCTAAAGTTCGCTATAAGAGTTATATATGAAGCAAATGAAAAGATGCCAATATAAAAAAAAACAAAAAACAAAAAACAAAACAAAACAAAACAAAAAAAGGGAGCAAAAAATAAGTTAATAAAAGACACAATTATATGAAAAAACCCCTTGGACATTTAGTTGATGAAACTACACCTTTGATGCAAGGCAAGTTGCTTAGTTTAGTCCTAAAGGTTGAAGCAATCAAAATAGGAGAGCCTTTTCTTATTGACATGTTAACTTGTAAGAGTGAGATCTATTCAAACTAAGAGAGGGAAGGGAATGCAGTTATTTAAACTCCTACCATTAGAACATGCCCTAAAATGATTAAGTAAAAAGAATAAGTTTGGGGGTGTGTATATCTCTCGATCAAGGAAAGGATATATTGTACCACCATGGATCGGGAATAGACCAATCATGAGTTTGATATGTTAACATGAGTTCACACACTCACACGTTGAGTTTTGCATCTAACAGGTAAAAGTTGATTTTATTCTTGCACCATTGAAACTGTATCTTATGTTGATTATTGAATTCCAATCCTGAGGTACGGTAGGTTGCCAAGTCATGTTTTGTGTAGAGTTAAGTCATTATTTTATTTGAGGACAAACAATGGTTCAAGTTTAGGAGTTTGATAAGTGCTTTTCTACACACTTATTCAGTCCACGAAATATGACTAATTGTTGATAAAATTTGTTGAGTATGACTTATTCTATGCAATTTTGTTTTTAGGACCATATTGATGAAAGTAGTAGAATTTAAGAGAAAAGAAACGAAAAGGACCAAAATGGAAGAAAATCAAAAGTTCAAGGATCAAAATGCAAATAGCTAAAAGATGACCGGGAAGCATAAACAAGGATATGAAAGAGTTGAGAACAAATTTAGTGAAGACTTGAAGTATTAGGAGAAGAAAAAAGAGAAATAATCTAAAAGAATCAAGAATTGAATTCGGAGATCAAAATGCAACATTCAAAAGTTTTTATAATTGGACGACTGCCCAACATTAAGGAACAATTACTGAGGCAAAAGCTTTTAGCCTGGGCGACTGCTCGGGTTTTGCTTGGGCAACTGCACAAGCCAATCGTAGGGAAAAAATTCTAGTTTCCTTATCTGACTAAAATTCTTATGGAAACAAATCTTGAGAGGTATTTTACAATTCTAGGGCCATCTTTAAACATGCACCACGTATTCTAATACATTTTCAAGGATTTGGAGAGCATAGAAAGATGCAAGAAACACGAAGAACAACCCAAAGACGTGAAGATTCAATTCAACAATCAATTGGTAATGTCTTTTCTTTATTATTCAATTTGTTTTTTTGCTTTCTCCATGCTAAGCTAGATTTTTATGTACTAGGAGATTGATAAACTTTGTGATATAACTTTTTAATTTATAATTTTGCAATTTTGACATCAAAACACGTTATGCAATTGTTGAATGATTTATATACAATTAATGTCTTCCATGATTATGTGCACATAATTATGTGAATGTGGTGACTTATTTTATACATTCAAGAGAAGGAAAATAACTTCAACATGGTATAAATCATTGTAGGGTTCGATAGGAGATAGATATATACCACTATGCCTTGCATGAATCTTTAAATGCTCACAAAATGACATGCATTCTAGTATATTTGCACCCGTCATAAAGATATAGGCTGGTGGTATATAGGAGTAGGTTCAACATTACTTGAGAGAGAGATTTGGATAGATTTAGGAGCATTGATTCTTCAAAAATTCAACGTGTTGTCAAATTATGGAACAGGGTTAAAAGTGAGCATTGTTTGGGGATTCGTGATCCTAATGCGCTTCATATTCATTGAGTGCATCAACTTGTGTTCAACACATTCACTTTGCATTCTAATTCATTTAATTCATACATAATTGCATATTTAGTCAATTTATGGTTAATTTAAGTTTCAACAAATCACGTTTGAGAAATCAATTTCGGTTAAGGCCGAGTTAGGTAAAATTAAACTACTCAATTTCTGTGGGATGACATTCGAACTCAATTTTCCACTTTATTACTTATTAACGAATCATTCACTTGCGATGGTCTAAATCGAAATATATTTTCGTGAACAACAAGAAAGGGAAAGGGAAAGGGAAAGGGAAAGTGAAAGTGAATTTGTTTTAATTGCCAAGAAAACAAAAGACTAGCTCATGAATTTTAATTTCTCATTTTGTTGGAATAAAGGGTCACCTTGACCGAAAATGAGAAAAGTGGCTGTGGTTGATTTGCATTTTCATTTTCAAAACGATTTTTAGTTCCCCCCCGAAAACGGCCCGTTTTTCACGTTTTCGACATTTATAACTAAAAATTCTGAAAACGATAAAAAGTCGTTTTGCGTTTCAATTATAAATTTTAACTCGTTTTCGAAAATGTGTTTTCGAAAATATTTTCGAAAACGACGGACCAAACGCGTTTTCCGCGTTTTCGAAAATGAAAAATAGAAAATGGGCCCAAAATGACAAACCAACCACAACCTAATTGTCAAGAAAGTATTTCGTATCAAACAAGCTAAAAAGTGAAAAATGATGGGATAATATCCATCTTCCATGGAAATTTTGGCCTATCAAACAGGCTCTTGTATTTCGGCCTGAATAACAGCAAAATGGACATTTTGGAACATTACGGACATTTCTTACAATCTCCTCGTCCTTTTTTTATCCATCGATCTAATCAATCTGTAGAAAGTTTGAAGCAAAGTGACTGACTGAAACATTACGGAGGCAATGAGCTTATTGCAATTCTTCCCCCAAACCCAAATTTCTCTTCCTCCTCAGTGTACCCTTCCATATTCCTGCAATTTTCAACATTTACTGCCCCACTGCAACAAAAGCAATGCCAAAAAATCTATTCATTCAAAAACGAAACCAGCCAAATCTGTTTTGTGCTCGTCACAACAACAACAGCGAGTAGAAGAACACAATGAAGAAGAAGAAGAATTCCATTTGCTGACTTCCATTCGGAGCAGTTATAACAACATTGTAATCCTCGACACTCCTAAATCTCTGCTTCTGCTTCTCGATTCTACCAGTATGTATACTTTCCCTCTGCTCAATTAGTGGTCTTTCTTTCTTCACTCAACGGGTGGGTCGTGTTTTTCCGAAACTGTATGCTATTGATTAAATTGGATGTACATACTCTGGAATTCTGTTTCATGCCTGCAATTGTTGTACTGTTGCAGATAATGTTCACAGCATTCTTAACAAAGGAAGTAAATGGACTGGTTCATATTGGGTATGTTTATTATCTCCCACTGCCAAAATTACTCATTCCTTTTCTTGGTTCATCTATGTTCAAATCACGCTTTCTGTCCTTGATTTGCAAATGGCAACATAGATAAATGATAAGATAGTTCCGTTTTTCTTATTGCCAATGATGTATAGTAGGAGCTCCAAGAAACTGACTAAGCTTATCTACTGCAATAACAAATGTCTGGTTATGTCACTTTAAAGAGCATTTGTGGCACTTCGATACATGGTAGGATACTGAAGAGCCTATTCACTCAAAACTTTATTATGACCTCGTCGTTTTTCTGGGCTTTGCATTGAAGTTTATTTTAAACACTTCTCTGTTTGCAAATCAAGAAAATTTTGATTCCTACTGCAAAATGCCTCTTAATACTGTTTGGGATTTGTGTTCTACGTCGAATCATCTAATGACTTATCAAAAATAACATTCTGGGTTTTCTGTTGCTTTCAGGAAAGATGAGATGAAAATTGCGTGAGAAATAACTTGCTTTGTCATGTTCTAAGTGGCTCTTATCATTCATTATTCATTGGTTGAATGGTTTTTCAAATATGTTTCTCTAATTGAAAGAAGGTGTAGTTGGAGAAACTATATAACCTGTTTACTGAAAAAATATTTTCGTTTTATATGAATTTATTAACAAGTTTCACCTCCTATGTTCAAACTTCATAAGGTATTAATGCATTTCAAATACAGGATGAGTTTGCTACCTTGCCACCTGTGGTTCCAAGGGGTCCCATTGCAATATTTGGCTTGGTAATATAGCTTTTCTAGTCTTCAATGTTGAGGCACGTGATTTCGATATTTACAGTAAATTTTACGGGAATAAAACTCATAAAACGGTAAATTGGATGAGATGAAAATTGCATGAGAAATAACTTGCTTTGTCATGTTCTAAGTGGCTCTTATCGTTCATTATTCATTGGTTGAATGGTTTTTCAAATATGTTTCTCTAATTGAAAGAAGGTGTAGTTGGAGAAACTATATAACCTGTTTACTGAAAAAATATTTTCGTTTTATATGAATTTATTAACAAGTTTCACCTCCTATGTTCAAACTTCATAAGGTATTAATGCATTTCAAATACAGGATGAGTTTGCTACCTTGCCACCTGTGGTTCCAAGGGGTCCCATTGCAATATTTGGCTTGGTAATATAGCTTTTCTAGTCTTCAATGTTGAGGCACGTGATTTCGATATTTACAGTAAATTTTACGGGAATAAAACTCATAAAACGGTAAATTGGTAGATCAGGTTAAAACTATCTTTACTTTTTCAGGGTGGAGGAACGGCTGCTCATTTGATGCTTGAATTGTGGCCTTCATTGCTGCTTGAGGGCTGGGAGATAGATGAAATTGTAATAATGCTCTCTTTCTATTTTGGAATTACTTGGAACAACAATGTTAGATCATTTTGGAACTCTTTCATGAAATAATTACTTTTCATAAACAGTCTTGTTCATTACCTCTCATTGGGGTGAAAAGCTTGAGTTAACAATCCCATATCTATTCTGGTTTACGAGTAGCATGAATGATCAAACACCTCTTCTATCAATAATAACATTTTGATTTATGTACTTGAAAAGTCAGCCGGCGAAATTGGGAAATTGATTTCAAAAGCTAACAATTTGATTGTTTTGTTTGATAAACAGTTAATAGATAAAGCTAGAGACTATCTTGGGCTGTCTGATCTTGAGAAGCAAAATATGGCTGGTGGAGTACTTAATGTTCACATTGGTGATGTTTTTTCTTCATCTGTTGCTATTCCTGGAGGATATGCTGGTAAATTCTATATACACTGTAGACAAAGACAGTGCAAATATTTCGTCTATATGCTATGTATATAAGCATCATCTATATTTCCGTAGAATGGAAACATTGTGGATGCTTATCCTTTCTTGATGGCAACTCATCATATTCAACAATGAATGAGGTTTAAATTTCGTTACTTTTCAGTGTAATAGTGTCATCTACATCCTTCTGTTGCTCCTTTTTTTTCTTTTTTGGTTGGCTTGACAATTGATAATTTATTCACATCCTAAATAAACAAACACACAACACATTTATATCGAAGGATAAATCTTTTGCTCTCTGTTCATGTAATCAATTACTTATTTCCAGTGCACACATTTCAGGCATTATTATTGATCTGTTCTCTGATGGGAAGGTTTTGCCGCAGTTGCAGGAGGTATCCATTGAACTATGGCTTTAATAATCATTCTTTTTGCATGATGCTCAAACTCTAATAATATCATTGTTATCAACTTTTAATTTTGCAACAAGTCTAATGTATACTTTTATACTGCTCTTATATTGATCCTAGAGCTTATCTCAAGGACTCTTTTGAAGAATACTAACGCTTACTTTCTAAATGACTTGTCATTGCTTCCGTTTATTTATGTTTTATTTTTTGTTTCTATTTTACAACTTAACACCTGTAAATGGATATGTAATATTAGAGTTCTGTGCATCTGAAAACATATATTTCTATTCAACTCTAAAGAATAAAATTAATTCCACCTTAAAAAATAAATAAATGCTGAAACTACTACAATTTATTAAATTTGAGTGATAAATCTAAAATTTAAAATATGAGTTACAGTATGCAATCAAGTTTTAGAAAGTGTTGAATAATTAGAATAATAATTCACAGTTATCATTGCTAAAAATCATAAAATGGAATCGGAAAGTATGGATATATCAACAAGCTAAGCTCTACTTCAATAAATCTGGACCTGGTTGGGTCATTTTCTCCATTTATTAAATATAGAATTACCTCTCCAGACAAGTCCAAGGAAGTTAAATATTTTGCCACCACCTCAAGTTATGTTAATCTATTTCTACATCTTCATTTTTAATCTAGTCTACTAGGATTACATGAATCTTATGAATGAGTGCATCTTTATAAGAAAAAGTATAGAATTATCAAGAAAAAGGAAATATAAAACATTCAGCCTGGGCATTAAAATAAATATCCCATGAATAAGAATAGTGTTTTTATAACAAATAGAGAATTTTCAAACGGTAGGAAGGGTCATGGTCCTTGGGCTATAACATTGCTTCAACCATGTATATGATGAGTGATTCCAATGCATGTTAGATTTACAGCTGATATTGGTATTTAGTTAATGCAATCAACTAACTAGTAGTAGAGGTCTGGAGACCAGATTGAGCTATATAGTGCAAACTCAAGAGGGCATATGGTGAATTTACTGTGAAATTCCATGTAAACTGTGCAATTTTTTTGCTTAAATATTGGATAGACGAAGTTCTTTTTTCTTTTTCTTTTTCTTTTTTTTAATCCTTTCGGCTTTAAGCATATTGAGTTCTTGATAAAATTGAGTTTTTAATCATTTTTTAGTCATTATTTTCTTTATTAAATAAATTCGAAATTTAATTCCTATTTGGACTTAATTTTTGCTATTATCTAGATGTTAATTGTTAATTAGGATTAGTCATTAATTAGAGTTAGTCATTTACTAGGATTAGATGTTAATTAAGCTTTTAAATTATTGTAAATAAGGGCTATAGCCCTAATGGCAAAGGAATTTTTTTTCTTTGAATTGGAATAAAATATTAATTGTTGAGACTTTCTTCAATTTTTATACGTTTTCATTATTTGATATTTAAAATCAACGAATCCAAGTTCTCATTTTTCGTGTGCAATCAAAGAGTTCTTGGTGCCTAGAGTTCCGGTATTCTTAGGAATAAACTGAAACTAGGCGATTGTATTTCAATATTCATTTTCGAATCAACAGAACTTCTACAACATTTTGTTCATATTTATTTATATCGCTTCCGCCTCTCTACATCAATTGGTATCAAAGCAATGTTCGTTCCTAATAGTATTCATGGAATTCAATGACAAAAGTTTGAGGACTATGATGGTCCGCCACTTGAATATCAGTTATGAAGGCACTCCAATTTTTTACAAAGAAATTGAAGAATTTGTGGATGTGGGTAACGATAGTTACGATGGATCCCCAATTTTCGATAAAGAAATTGAAGAATGTATGAATTTATATGATGACATTTACAACGTTTCACCTATTTTTCTGTGGAGAGCTTGATGTCAATGTCTCTAATAAGTGGTCTAAAGAAATCGAAGTTAGTTTTAAATCCCACACAAGAAATTGAAGAATCTTTAGATTTCAGTTATGAATGTCCTCCAAAGCATCATTTCAAGATAGGCTGACGGTCTTCTTGATTTTATTTGTTTGTTTGTCAACATTTACCTTATGAAAGTTATAATAGATTCCTGGTCTTCACTATAGAAATTGAAGAATGTATGAATCTGTGTGATAACAGTTACGATGTTTCACCTGTTTTCTATGTAGAGCCAATGTCATTAATAAGTGATCAAAAGAAATTGAAGTTTGTTTTAAATGCCACATAAAAGAGTCCATGGATCTTGAGATACTTGCTATAGTTTGACCTTTGTTCGAAGAATTTTTTGTCGTATGCCCTATAAATATACCAAGTAAATATTGTTATTACAAGGAATTGGATAAAAAAATGCATTACACAATTCAAGGATGAATCTTTGATAATCGGAGGAGAATGATGAGATTGAGTTTTTGATAATTTTTTAGTTAGTATTTTCTTTATTAAACAAATATGGAACTCAATTTAGATTATGACTTTTAAATTTTTTATTATCTATATGTTAGTTGTTAATTAACGTTAATCATTTATTAGTATTATTCTTTAATTATGTTTTTTAATTGTTATAAATAAGGGTTGCAGCTTTAGTGCCAAAGGAAGAATTTTTTTTTACTGAAATAAAATAATAACTGTTTAGATTTTCTCCAATCTTCAATCCAAAGTAGTATTCGGACATAAGTCAATGATTTATTGATCAAATCAAATACTAGGTATTCTTACAAAGAATCATCGAATATTTTACGGTATTTTTTGTAAATCAACATATTGGTTGCTTCATTTCTACACTAGTTCTCTTGGCGAATTTTAATACATAACGCTAAACCCTTCTCCATTCACGCATGTATCAACATAAGACACCCCTAGGAGCTAACATGGCATTAGAGTCAACATCATACCAGTCAAAAAGAATTTCTAGGTGATGCAGGTCAAAGTGTATGGAGGCGCAAAAACACAGAGTTTGCAAACAATCTTCTAGTTCCTTATGATTTATTCATGAATATCAGGAAAATGGCATCAAAATTTGTTGATTAATGGTGAATGTCGAGATTTTGGACTTGTTGATTTATATAGAATACCCATAGGTGGGGTAATTGAGAAGTTATAAGTTTTCATTCCATAAGTCACCCTTTTTAGCAGACCTTAGTGTTCTTATTTATATAAAGCAACCAAAATCGAAGTGCTAGAAGGTAATCTCAAAATTAACGTTATAGATTTATGTGAGAGGGATAAAAAACCACTGTACGAATACTCAAATTACGAAGCTACCAAAAAGAGTCAGATTGTTTTGTTAGTTTCCCTCAAAATTTAAGCCACATTGTAATTGCTTGGAAAATTCGTTGTTGCAGTGGGAAGTCGACAAAGTTTATTGGTGGTTGTTGTACTCTTCCTGCATTGGTTGTGGATTTGGGTTCCTTTTTCTTAGGCCAACTGGCATTGGTTCCTCTTGCTATTAGAGCCAACTATTCTCAATATGCATCATGAAGTCACACCCATAGGCATCATCCAATAGGACTTTAACAGTTTTGCATTTCCTTTGCGGCATGCTCACAGGAGTGATCGAGGCTCTAACACGAACTTATGCAAGAAATTGCGTTTGGAAATTGTTGTACTCCTCCTGCATTGGTTGTGAATTTGGGTTCCTTTTCTTTGGCCAACTGGCATTAGTTCCTCTTGCTATTAGAACCAACTATTCTCAATATGCATCATGCAGTCACACTCATAGGCGTCATCCAATAGGACTTAACAGTTGTGTTTCCTTGCAGCATGCTCACAGGAGTGATTGAGGCTCTGACATGAACTTATGCAAGAAATAGCATATGGAAACTCGGAAACACAAAAATCGTGAACTTCCTAGTTCCTGTTGACGCTCATGAATAACAGAAAATAAGCATTCTGCTTAGCCATTTTGGCAATTTAAGTCATGCAAAGAAGGCCACGTCAGTCCCTTAATTTTTTAAGACTCTCCACTAGTTCATTTTTCAATTTCCACCTGCAATATAGCTATTAAGTACTCATCCAGTAGAAGGTATTCAGTTTGAAGTTATGGAACATTTAATGCGAAGCTAATTATTAGACATTGCAGCGTCCATTGCACGCCTACCTGAGTGTCACATTCATTCATGCCTATCTTGACCTCCATGCCATGTATGCAATTACTGAGCCTAAATTAAAACGCTGCCAATTTGTTTTCAAAAAGCGGATCCCATTTCATATTTAGGTGTTGAAGCTTATCAACCATCCACCCATGGATAGAGCCACGTAGGCTCCAGTTGTGGTAACTTTCACTCTGGATTTTGGAGGGAGTGTGGGGGTGAGAACTAATGCTACTCTTCTTCATGTTCCCAGGGCCTAAACTACTGATCCCCATTCTCATGTATTAAACACTCTGGTTGCATTGAACGACAAAATATGCTGAGTGTATTATAGTCAGAATATGGCTTCAAAAGCCTTTCAATGTACTGTTGACTAAAGTTTTTCAATAATTTTAAAGTGACTTTATTTCTTCTGCTTACTCTCGGTAGTCTGCTAAAGTAGAAAGTACTTTTTGCTTTGAACATTTTAAAGAATTGATTGTGCAATTGAGTTGGAGATCAATGGATGAACGATAATTTGGTCATGCATAATCACCATGAAATGTTTAAGAACATTGACAATGAGGTCAAATTACATTGTGAAATCAAAATTAGAATTATTGTTATGTGTTTCTAAATGAATAATTACAACCCTATTACATGCGATTTATGTTACACAAGATGAACAAGGAGAAAAATAATCTGCTAAGTTAGGATATAAATCAACCTACCAATTAACCTGAAATCACAATCTCTAATTAATTACAATTTCCATTCCTAACTTATTTCCATTCCCGGTTGCCTACACCCTTCCTCAAGTTGAACTGTAGATGTTGATCATGGTCAACTTGCAGTTGAGGTCATTGAAAATTTATTAAGACAATCCTTTGATGAAGATATTCATAGTTTGTTCCTTTGTATGAAGATATGTCACACAGATAATCCATCTTCTACCCTTTCTTTGATAAAATCTGTCCACTTTTTGGAATTTCTGCTTTATGAAGGTTAGCCGTAAAAGCACAAAATCCAAGTATTATAAGATATGAATTTGGAAATAGGATGGAGAGTACACGATCGAGTTTGTTTTCTTAGAGCAATTGGTAGATTGTTTTTTGGGGATATGGATTCGTTGGAAGGGTTCTCATCATGACCTATCACTAATTTTGACTCTTTTGGTGCCTCGGGTATAGTTATTAAAATCAGACCGTACCGATTGATTTGGACCGAAAATCGTCGGACCGAATAGTGGTTCGGTCTGGTTCAGTGCATTAACTGGTCAAATAAGCTAAGGAATCGGCCAAGATCCGGTTGAACATTAGATAACTAGTCGATTCAAGCTATTCTAAAAGGCAAACCAAACGGTGAACCGATTTTTTTAATAAAGGGAAGTGCAAAATTTTATTTCAATATGTCCTGGATGTGATTGGAACCTGAGTGTCCGGCATGATAATTCCCTCCCTTGATCATATTGGAAACTAATAATCCCTTATAATATAATGTGGGTGAAAGATATATTAGATTTAGCATAATTTTTTTTGTTGCAAAAATTATTTTAATTAAAAATATGGTATGACAATGAACAACCTGTTGTACCACTGACCTAGTGACCCAATGATTTTTTCGAGTCAACAACCGGGTTAGATCTAATAATTGTGGCCTTAGGTGTAAGAGTTTCATTATTCTTTGAATTAATCTTTCTTGAGTAAACTAGTATCTCCTTATCATTTTATTTTCCAATATCTCCCAATAAATTCGAGTTTCCTTCTGTATATAGTAGATTAGAAGGTAGGAGGGTGACTAGCTCTGTATTTAGGTCAGGCAGGGCAAGATTAAATTCCAAGAATTCTCGACTTAATAACCAATCATCACTCAAATTCTCCCCCTGAAGAGAAGGTTTTTGGAAGTAAGGTATTTTTTCGGAGAAGGTTACATCTAGGCTAACAATGACATTTTCTTTGGACGAATCATAGCATTCGTAGCCTTTTTTAGTGGGTGAGTACCTGATGAACACACTTGATTGTACGTTGTTCCGGTTTGTTTCGGTGATGGGAGTGAACGTGTACAAAAGTAGTACTTCCAAACACGAGTAGATTTGAATTAGGATGAGAAGTAGGAAAGTGTTTTTGGAATCTTTGTATAGATGAGTCGAAAGAGAGAGTATGACGAGACATACGGTTAATGAGATATGCAGCTGTTAAAATTGCATCTCCCCATAATGTATTTGGCTTATTTGTTGTAAACATTAAGGCATGAACAACCTCAAGTAGGTGCTTATTTTTTCGTTCAGCAATCTCATTTTATTGAAAAAGTGATGACACATGAACTTTGGTGGACTATTCTATATTTTTTAGGTAGTCTTGCAAAAGGTATTTAAAGTATTCTGTGCCATTGTCATTGTGCAGGATTTGAAGTTATGTTTGAAACTAGGTTTAAATCATAGAGTAAAATTTATAAATACTAAGTGAGCATCAATTTTTTCCTCTAGTAGATATATCCAGCATACCCAAGTGTGGTCATTGATAAATGTGACGAACCATTTTGTTTAGGTACAGTTAGGATTGCAGGAAGTTCCCCATAAATCATGATGAATTGTGTAGATGGTTTGTGAATTTGGAAAAGATGCAGAAACATATTTATACAAATTCACAATTTTCACATTGAAACTTAATTGATTTTTATTAAAGAAATGTGAAGGAAGTAAACATTTTAAGTATGGAAAGCTAGGATGACTCATTCTATAGTGTCTTAACAAAATTTCACTATCCCTAGAGGCAGATGTAGAACGACAACCTGTAAGTTGACTTAGTTTACTTACGTCGGCTTCCTCGAAGTAGTACAGTCCTTCGCATTCTTTAGCACTATCAATCGTCTTCCTTGGTGAAAGGTCCTGAAAAACATAGGAAGACAATTGGAATTGTTGGTTAGCTGACTAATAGATAACAAGTTATAAGACAAATTTGGGAAGTAGAGGACATATTCTAATGTTATGAACTCAGAGATTCGAATATTTCATTTTCTTCAACAGAAGAAAGTGAGCTATCTACAATTTTCACCTTAATATTTCCAGTACAAGTTGAGTATGAAGAGAATAAGTGGTAGAGTCCGTCATGTGATCTAGATGCACTGGAGTCAATAATTCAAAATTTATATTGTGACATGCATAAGGTTTTTTGAAAGTTACCTTTGTGTGCTAGAGAACTAGAAGGAAGGCTGGCAAGATGTTTGAAGGCTAGGGAAGATTTGATAGAGTTGCTCCATTTGTTTGGAGTTGAATGCACAATTCGAGGTAGAATATTTTGTTTCAACTTGGTACCTTGGCTCCTAGTATTTTGCCTTGGATTTCGAGTTCTTCGTAAATTTTTCAAACATGTATCTTCTATGTGATCAGGCCTACAACAATTCTCACACCAATGTCTTTCATATGACAATCTGTCATGTCTCATAATACCTGCCAGATCTGCCACAATCGAGTCTTAATTTCAAAAATATGTGGTGAATCTTCAAAATCGGAGTAAGTTTCTTCCCTACTTCGCAGACATCTTTTGCAGTTAGAAGGAAGAGATATGTCTTCCCAATTGTCTGGCTTCGTTGAATTCCCCAACAAGGTCGTCGCCATGGAATTTTTGGACTTCCACTTATGCAAAAGGGCAACATCGTTTGGCCTCTTAGTCTCGTCAGTAAGGTAAACCTAACTTCCATCCTCATTTGATTACTAATTTTATCGATTGGGGCTACTCTTGAAGTTTCTTCCATTTAATTTCTCCGCCATAAGTTGGAAGGAAGAATTTTCGACTCCATTGAGGCCGATTGAATGACTAGTCTCTACTTTGAAATTTGATGTTTCAAAGGTCGTCTATTTGCTGCTGTTTGCAGGGAATTTCACCATTGCTAGGTCATAGAAACCTTGGCTCCGATACCATGAAATCAAAATAAGAACTCAATGAATAATTACACCCCTATTACATCCAATTTATATTACACAAGATGAACAAGAAAAGGAAAAAATAATCTGCTAAGTTAGGAAATAAATCAACCTACCAATTAACCTCAATTCATAATCTTTAATTAATTGGAATTTCCATTCCTAGCTCTCTGGAGTGTCTTTGGAGTGTTCTTAGAGTAGCTTTGGAGTAGTTCTTGGTTGTTTTTGTACTATATGTTAGTCTCGATCTCTCGTCGTCACTAATTTTCGTAGATGTTGCTCTAATTTGGATTTTTCTTCGTGGGCACAAGTATTGTCACCTTCGTCAGCTTATGGTTGCAAATTGATGCTCTTACTCGCATCGATTTGAGGAGGGATGTCAATGAGATTGAATAAGATTACGGAGATTGTCGAACATTACAGTTAACGTTTATATTATCATTATATTTGTATCATATATAGATAGATTGCTTTTACTGTATTTAATTTGATTTTGATTCTATATAATGAGAGAACCTTTCATATTGAGGGGTATTGAGTCTTATTGAATATATTTGTCATTTCATAAATTTTTAATGGGCTGGAAAAATTAATCTTGTAGACATCCAGATCTATAATTTGTTGCTTAGCATTTCTTGATTTGCTTGCCTTTCTTGATCAGGCTGCTACATGGTTGGAGCTTAATAACAGATTGATGCCCAACGGTCGCTTCATGGTGAATTGTGGTGCTGGCGAAGATGGATTGTCTGAAATCAATGATGCAGTATCACCAAATGAAGATTCATCAACGGATGGCACCTGGGAACTAAATGCTACTATCAAGGCTCTTTGCAAAGCATTTCCTGGACAAGTATGGTGCTTTTTATTCTCTACTTATCGTGCAAGTCCTTTGAATTCAATAATTGATGACTTTTAGCCTAAAAGGAATAAGAGCTTCTAAATACACAAATATACAAGAACAAAGGAATATTATGTGCTTTAATCGCACACTTGTATATTCACATCCTTGTCTTCAACACTATCCCATAAGCTGATGGAGATTTTGGATGAAGTGTATAAGGACAATGCTGCACAAGGCAATTAACTGCTTTTTGGAAAATATTCCATTTTTCTCATGTTACTCACTGGACCTATTGTTTACTTGCTTGATATTGCTTCAAAGAACTAGAAGACTACCAACAACCAGTGTCCAGTAAATTTTAGGGGTATGAGATCCAGATCAACCTTTTAGAGTGGAGACTTATTCACATTCACAAAGTGCAGGGTCTAAGGAGGTTATGGACGTCTAAATCTCTCCTGCAGCCTTGAAACTCAGTTCTATTCTCTCACTCACCCGTTCTTGCACTCTTGCTTTTTCAGGTTTTGTTTGCCTCCTTCCTTAGGTTCCATTGTTCAGTCTAACCAACTCATAGCCCTCCCAGATTCAATGACCTACATCTCACTAGGGTTGGGAAATGCAGAGAAATTGGATCAACAGAGCTTAAATCATCAGAGCACAGGGCTATGCTCACTTTTTTTGAACAATTTTGTCTTTTAAGCCAAAGAGGCTATTGCCTATAACACTTCCTGACTATTTTCCCGAGGCGGAGGTCATAAATGTCTGAATCTATGTATTCATCAGTTTCTTAAAAAATCTCAGCTTTTTGTACACTCATTTGCATTGATAAATTGTGTATACTTATACTACAAATATTTTCTTGCTATATCTAAGGTCCACTAAACTCAAATTTCAAAAACGCCAGGTAAATTGGAAAAAGATGCCAAAAAGTGAGGGTGAAAACTATCTTGCCCTCACAGGACCTTTGACAGAAACAGCTACGTGGTCTGCTGTTCTCCCTCCTGAACTGAGCTCCAGTGTTCACCAGTGGATAACTTGCTAAGTTTGGTGTAAGTGTCACCTTCTAATCATAACTTCAGAGGATCACAACTAAAAGATCTTTATTGAGCTTCACTGGTGTTGTGGGTGGCATTTAATACATGTAGCCTGTAGCTCATTTTTGTATTGGTAGAAGGTAATGTTATAAAGATGCATTGAATTCCTTAGGTACAAGTCCAAAAGCAATACTAATTGGCATTCTCCATTGTAGCTGCATTGTTAATTAGATGCTTAAATTTGATATGCTATTCATAGACATGGGCTTTCTTGATTTGCTCGTGTACATCCCTTCACTGGCTTTTATATGCAAGTTCTGTCATTGGTTTGGTGTTCTTATTCAGTAAAATTGTTGACTGAATGTTTGTTTCTACTTTTATCAGTGTAAGATTAATCATGTGGATCATAGAGCATGCAGTGCTTAATTGAGGAGAGTAGAGGAGCTTTGAGTTGCTATACAGGATCTTACACATCTTTAGAGAAAAAAATGTAGTGACTGATTACACGGCAAATGTAGACAATATCTCCATTGCTGGGGTGACAGTTTAGTTCATGTATAATGTACAGAGTTCTCAGAGGACAATAATTTACCAGATCATACATATTATTGCACAATCATGAAACTGTTTCCTCGTCAGACTCCAAATACGTCAAAGTACAGAAAAAGAAATAAAAATACAAATGTTTGCATCCTTCAAATGCTTGGATACAACAATACAATTGAGTACATCACCATACATAATTTATTCAAACTGGCGAAGTTTTCGTCCTTCGCCTTTATTCACACAAATTTCATAGTTCAGCTGTCCTTAGCAAGGTTGTCTAGCGACGGAAACTCCTCACTTGGCGTGGGACTTCTTCCTCTTGTCCATTAAGCTTAACCAGAGTATAAATACCGGCCCCTGCAAGAGCTCCAAGTGTAGGTGCCAGAAGGTATACCCATATCACCTTGTAATTTCCTGCTGCAACTGCTGGTCCCAAAGTTCGGACAGGATTCATTGAGCCACCACTCGATGGTCTGCCAATTCAAAGAGAGTCTAAACAGTTAGCTGGTGCCCTTTTTTCTTCACGATTTTCAATTACCATTGTTTTCAGGAAGAAGATGAAGCAAAAAGGGATCGTTAACTCACCCCGCAACAAGAATATTAAGCATAACGGTGGCTCCAACTGCTATGCCTGCTAATTCTCCCACCTGTCAACAAGGATTTTGATTACTTTGTAATATCTGAAGAAAAGGAGAAAGAAAAGAATGTTGGTGCTCAATTGATTACTCACAGCGCGGGTATCAGTGGCAACAGCAGTAACCACGAATAGCAGATTGAAGGTTATAAGAAATTCAAGAGCGAAAGCCTGGCCGGTGCTGACAGAAGGGACAGTCACACCACCGGACATGAAAGGATGGAAAACACCTTTGAGTGCAAAAGAAGCACAAATGGAGGCCGAAACCTGCGCTGCTATGTAGGCCGGTACATGAGCCCACGGGAAATGGCGAAGTGCAGCAAAGGCAATAGTGAGAGACGGGTTAAGATGAGCTCCCGAGATGTGACCTGTAGATAAAATCACTATCATAACGGCAAGACCAGCACATGCTGCATTGCCTATAAGTGTTTCAGCTTGATTGTACTTTTGGTTTACGATTGGTCCGGCCGTTGCAGCAAATATCAGGATAAATGTCCCAACAAACTCTGCTCCCAGCTACATTTAACACCAAATTATGTTGACATAGTTAATTCCTTCATTTTTGACAAATTTTAACGAATTTCTGAGTGGTTTTTGCCTCTGTTATTGGGATGAATAAGTTTCAGTGTACATCCTAGTTTATACAACAAAAAGGTACAGATTCTCTATCGATACTCATTACAGAAATTATTGGAGGATTCTTGGCATTTTTCACAGCAGGTATACTCGAGCAAACTAATTCGAAATTCATGGACTGTTGGGCTAGTCAATCAAACACGACATGACTCATTCATTTTGGTTTCAATACGAGTTTATAACGAGGTGGGGCCTTGAGCGACCGGTCCCATTTGACACAACTAAGCGAAGGACCCACTCCACATCAACAATTCACTTCGTTAAATTTCATTTTCAGTCACTGAACTCAGAAGTCTCAACAAAATCTCAATTAGGTGATTGAATTTCAATTGTTTTTCAATAGGATTGATGAACTACAATTTTGTTTCAATTAGATCATTGGACTCAATTTAGCCCAAGTTTGAAAATCATACTTTCAGAAAAATAGAGTTTTGAATAGTGATTTTTAAAAGAATGTGTTGTTAAAAAGTAAAAAAAAAAATTCGAGTTTACATGCAAAATGTTTTATTGTGTGGAAGTGTGGTTGAAAATAAGTCTGTAGAAAAAAAAAGTTTGAAAAGTATGATTATCGAACAAGGGCTTTGTTTCAAATTTCACAACATTTTGGACTATCATCTTCTAAATTGATGAAAATTCGATAACAATATAACAACATATGTTTCAAATAATCACCGCATCAATGCTAACTTATCGTTACGTCACATCATAGAAGCGTTAAAAAAAAATGTGAATTTAAACCTCTAACCTAAAATCATGTCATAATCATACTCCTACCATTTTAATTTATAGGATGCGTGACAAAGAAATGACTGACTGATCATTATTCATATTGTATTCAACAAAGAAAATTAAAAGAGGCAACTGAAAGGTAAGGACCCCATTCCAATTTCCACGTCAATAATCATATATGTTCATATTATATTCAAGAGAGAGAGAGAGAGATCTAAAAAAGTTGAACCCAAGGTTCTTGGAGCATCACGAGAGAAGTTAATCGTGGGATGTCTCAACAGGTCAAGGAACAAAAGTTGTCTGTATAAGTTTCAATTCATGTTTCAGGAATCGAACCCTCACATCAAGGCTAACTATACCTCACTCTTATTCTTTGAACCACTTAAGTATGCTCGAGGCAAGGGAGGGAGAGAGAGATCTAACTGTAACGTAAAGTGGTCTAACCTTGCGAGTAAGAGAGATGTCAGGCACAGAGAAGTCGGTGAGGCTGCAGGTATGTGGTGTACCCCACGTGGATGCATCAACTGGAAGGCACTTGCATCGCGCCATTGATTTTCGATCATAAGACAGCGAATCTATGCGCAGAGAAGACATCAGTGGCGCCGGCGTTCCTGGCGTCGCTGGCGCCGACAATGTCGGTGTTCCGGCTTCGAATTCCGGCATTCCGATTGATCTATAAAAATCAAATCAATAACTCTTTTTTTTTCTTTTTTTTAAATAGTAAGACAGCGAGCAACTGTTCTATGGATATAAATTACATGATTTGCAGGCTTTTTTAGGGCTTTTGCTACACGAGCTTCTGAATCGTACCCAGATCGATAGAAAAAACTCAGTATAATGATAATCCAAAAAGCATTGCGAATCAAAATTATATGAAAAAATTCAACTATTTTTTTTCTTTCTTTTTTGTGGTTGAAGAAGAAAAGTGGGTGTAGTTACATTTTTCGACGATTTTTATAAATTTGTAGCTACGGATTACGAAAATCTAAGAATTCCAGCTTATATCAAAATGACGATCAAAAGATGTATATGCACACAAATAATATTGTCATTTGCATATATTATGATACTATAAAGCAGAACACAGAAGAAGAACAAGATATAGAAAATGGAGGAATGTGAAAGGAAAAAACAAAAACAAAAAAATTGAAGTGAATGTGTGAGATAATTGTATAACAAACAGTTTGGAGGCGATGGTGACGAAGAATGAACGAGTATAAGTAAGGAAGCACAAAATTCCAAGGAATTGGAGAGAGAAAAAGTCAATGCTACAGAGGTACCAAGCTAGGTCCCGAGCTACTCCACCTTCCCGCTGCCGCCCCACGCCATTCATATTATTGATTATAGGAAAAATTGCAACATCGATCCCTAACCTTTTCAATTTTTATGAACTTTAGCCTAACATTTAATTTGTATCAACGAAGGTCTCTAACTTTTCATAATTATGAAATAAAGGTCTAAATGGATAGAAACTATCAACTTGACCATTAGTTTACCAAAGAATTGACATTGACCACAATTTTGACTAATTTAAAAAGGACAAACGATAATTTTACATTTTTTTTTACATAAAACAATTAAATAAAAGACCAAAGAGAAAAAGGAAATTACCCCTAACCACCTCACCCCCATGAAAAATAGAAAGGCCAAGGGTCAACATTCAGCACATCATTCTTTCCCAACTCCCACCCACATCAATGGGGCACAAAGGTCGGTCGCCACCGCAACTTGCAAAGTTGGCACCGTCTCCCAAAAGGTAGTCGACACCACCCAAATATCAAAATCACAAATCTAACAAACTCAACGGAATACTGAAGAAACTGGAACCTTATTTAGATGTGAAATTAGGTAAATTTGAAGCCAAATTGGAGCAATTTGTGACACAAAATTAGATAATTGAGGGGTATACCCATCATCGTCCGGTGTTTTTGAGAGATTTTGTGTTGCCAATTTTGTGAAAACTCATTCCCAAAATCGTCAATTGAAGGAGACAGAATTGTCTCGTTTTGCTCTCAAGGCGGACCTGTATCAATCAGAGTAGTTTTGGATAATGGCTCACAATGAATTGGAGCACCTAAGTAAGGCGAATCGGTCGATAGCGGTGACCCGACCCGATGATCAAATTCTTGGTAAGAATCATCAACTTCATAATGTTTTTCAACTCACGCTTTTTAATGATCTTTTTTAGAATAATTCTACTCCTACAAAGTTGGTGTACAAAAGTGAAGTGTCAAAGTGTGTTGGCAAAATCTGGACCATTGATTTCAAATGATTTAAAAATCTGTTTTTGAAATAATTGGTGTAGATTTGATTTTGTAATCTAACTTTGTAAACCCCCCTTTGTCATTGTAGCATAACTCTCTTTTTTTATGGTCATCTAGGTGTCATTGATGTCGCTAGATTTTTTTGTTCGATTGCAGTCCTCTCGTGGCTTTTATGGGCTGATTTTGATATGCATATGATGTTGTTTATCTAATTAATTGTGTGAGATGTGTTTGTGGAAAGAGGTAGCCGACTAGGGGATTAAATTTTGATGGATTGGATGCAAGCGAAGGTTGGTGATTTTTTTGGTTTTGGGAGGTGCAGTAGAAAATGATGATTTTTATTTTCTTTTATTTTATTATTTTTAATTTAATTTTTAATTTATTTTAATTTGGTTAGAATTGATCAAATTTTAACGTTTTGGTCAACTAACGGTCAAATGGACGGTTTCCATTTTTTTGGACCTTACTATATATTTATGAAAGTTTAGGGAATTCACTGACACAAATTAAAAGTTAGGGTAAAGTCTGAAAAAATTGAAGAAGTTAGAGATCGCTGCTGCAATTTTTCCTTGATTATATTGACTTACTTCATGCATTATTATTATTATTATTATTATTATTATTTGTGTAAATTCCACCCAGGTCCCCAACCTTTTTTAAGTGAAATACTCATGTCCTAACCCACTATTCATTGTAATCATGTCCTCAACTTTTTAAAGTTGTGGCATCCATATCTCTAGCTAATGGATCACGTTTATTTGAATGTTAAATGATCGTATGACAACATATAATATCATACTCAGAAGAATTCTATTAGCCTTCCCACTCCCAAAATCTTGGAATCTAGTTGAGAAAGTGATGGTGAGCTGCATCGTATCAATTGTCAACTACGAAGATCAATTTTCTTTCTAAACGACAACCGACCCATTTGATAGAACCTTGCCTAGCCAATTGAGAGAGGACTTTTCACCTTCACATCCATATTACTACATGATATAAAGTATCCCTTATTGGTGCTCTATGCAATGTATACAACTCTTTCCCATTAGGGAAAGGAACAACATATTCTATAAACGAGAAATTTTGGAATGGAGAATCATTTTGAACAGCCCCACTTTCATTGTGTTGAGAAAAATCATCCAATCCAGAAAAAAGGAAATGAAAAAAGCTCGACCCCATTTTGTCAAGTGAGTAGGAATTCAAACCACTTTGCCTTACTTTATTGGAACAAAGTAAAGAGGAAAGTAGAATGAAGAAAGGAAAAGGATCATGGCGGTCTTGCTTGGTGTATGGGCTCCTAGATTGAGGGTAGAGTACAATATTAAGGGTCTTTGGATGGTTGGACTTCCAAGCGATTTTTCTTTTGAGCATCTATTCACCATTGTATCTTGTAGGAAAACAACCAAAGATGAAGCAAGCTCCTCTAAACGAACATATGAGACAATGACTGAAAATAGTCAGAACGAAGAATTAAAAGAGGAGACTGAGGTTAGACGCAGCAAACGGGAAAGGAAAGAAAAGTCTTATGGCCCAGATTTCCTGACCTGTATGCTAGAAAGTGAACCTCAAAATTATCAAGAAGAGTGAATTCCTCGGAAGGAACTCAATGGAAAGAAGTCATTGAAAGTGAAATAGATTCCATACTGAAATATCATATATGGGAGCTAGTGGATCTTCCTCCAGGAAGCAAACCACTACGCTACAAATGGATTTTCAAAAGGAAAATAAAAGCAGATGGAACTATCGAGAAGTATAAGGTCAGATTAGTAATTAAAGGCTACAAACAAAAGGAAGGTCTTGATTACTTTGATACGTATTCTCCAGTGATGAGAAAAACATCTATTAGGATAATACTTGTGATTGTCGCTTTGCGAAATCTTGAAGTACATCAAATGGATGTTAAAATTGCATTTCTAAATAGAGATCTAGAAGAAGAAATTTACATAGAACATCCTGAGGGGTTTTCGTCACCAGGACAGGAAAAGAAAGTCTGTAAACTGGTGAAATCACTATATGGCTTGAAACAAGCACCAAAACAATGACATGAAAAATTTGACAATGTCATGATTGAGAGTGGATTTAAAATCAATGAATGTGACAAATGTGTTTACGTCAAAGACACTAAAGATGGATATATCATCTTATGTGTTTACATGGATGACATGCTTATTGTTGGTAGTGACATTAAGATGATTGAATCCACTAAAAATATGTTAAACTCGAGATTTGATATGAAAGATATGGGTTTAGCTGATGTTGTACTTGGAGTGAAAATCTCAAGAATATCAAATGGGCTTGTTCTAAGTCAGTCACATTATGTGGACAAAACTTAAGCTTGTAGGAAAACAAGTCGCTAGTGGATGAAACCAATTGTATAAGTTTTATTCAATTACAATAGCCGACTATTGAAATTAATAACCACAAGACAAACAATTTCAATTTATAAAAAAAAAATTCCGTTTCAGAATTTTCCAACGCATGAAAAAAATGTTTATAGGTAGACATTGTTCCTTTCCATAACTCATAAGGGGTCTCTTCCGATTTCTTTCGGGACACCTTATTTAAAAGGTAATTTGCTGATAACACAGCTTCCCCCCACATGTTCTGAGGTAACCCAGAACTTGCGAGCATTGCATTCATCATCTCTTTTAAGGTACAATTTTTTCGTTCATCAACACCATTTTGTTGCGATGAATAAGGGGCGGTAGTTTCATGTATGATTTCGTGTTGTGCACAGAATTCAGCAAATGGTGCTTCATACTCATCACCTCGATCACTTCGCAGCACCTTAATTTTCTTATTAGGTTGATTCTCAACTTCATTCTTATAGAGAATAAATTTCTCTATAACTTCATCCTTACTTTTAAGTAGATATATATAACAGTATTTTGTGTTATCGTCGACAAAAGTAATAAAATACTTGTTGCCACCTCTTGTTTGTACAAGTTTTAGATCACACAGGTCACTGTGAACTAAATCTAGTGGTTCTGTGTTCTGTTCAATTGATTTAAACGATGACCTTGTCAATTTTGTTTCAACACAAGTTTCACACTCATGTTTGGAATCGTTATTGAACTTAGGTATGCAGTTAGAGTTAACTAGTCTTCGTAAAGTATCATAGTTAACGTGTCCTAGTCTATCATGCCACAAATTGGAAGACTCAAGCAAATAAGCAGAAGAACCTGCTTTATTCATTTTTGGTTTCACAACCATTACACTGAGTTTAAACATATCGTCAGAAACATAACCTTTTCCGACAAACATTCCACTTTTTGACATAATGACTTTGTCTGATTCAAAAACAATGCGGAAACCATGCTTATTCAAAAGCGACCTGGACACTAAATTCTTGCGAATTTCTAGCACATAAAGCACGTTGTTGAGAGTCGGCTCCTTTCCCGAGGTCATCTTCAAAACCATTTTTCCTTGACCCTTGACTTCAGAAATTGCTAAATTTTCCATGAACAACTTCTCTCCGTTCTCAACAGCTTCGAACGTATCAAACTTCTCTTTATCAGAGTACACATGCCTTGTAGCACCGGTGTCAATCTACCACTTTTTAGGGTTTGAACCCACCATGTTTACTTCAGAAATGATTGCTGCGAGATTCAACTACAACAAAAGAAGAAATTGTGTATGCAGGAATGGAGGTGAGATTTTCGAATGTGTTAGATTGCTGGAGAATGAGCCTTTTATAGGCATATTGCCCATTAATATTGTGACCATTGGGAGTCCATTGGAGTTACTTCACATGAACACTGTGACCATTGAGAGTCCATTGGAGTTTTTTCAGTTTAGAAACTCAAAAGTCATTGGAGAAGGCCAAAAAAAATTGGCAAAACGTGGTCTCTCCGATGGGGCCATTTTTGCCTTGTTCGGTCCAACATTATGTGCGCAGGTCGCGCCCGCACCCAAATTCAAGGTCCTAAGGCCATTTCGGTTCATGATTTGCACCCCCTGCGCACGCACATGGAAAGAGCCTCTATGTTACACATGATTACACATCTCCAAAGCATAACCATAT